TCAACCACCTTGTTTTTTTTTTTTTTTTTTGCTTTTCAAAAAAGAAGAAGAAAAAAAGTTATTTGTTTTATTTCATGAACAAACCTCATAGTATTTTGTCATGTATACTAAACCAAAATGAACATAAAAATGGAAAACCCCAATGTTTAACAAATGTTTTTTTCTTTTTTTTTTGAGGTCCATAAAATAAAATGAAGTAAACAACAACTTAACAACAAACGCACATGCCTATCAGCCTATCATTTTATATATCACCTGATTCCATTCAACTAACCAAAAGAAAAGTTAAAAGTTTTAACTCTTCTTCTTTTTTTTCTTTTTTTTTTTTGAAAATAGGTAATAGTTTTAACTCTTCTTCGTACATTCGTTTCTGATTTCAACATGCTGGAAAATATCTTGTGGTAGTTGTGTGGCCTATCATGTCTGAAGACCTTTTTGGTTTTTGCTCCCACTTGTCTAAGATTTATTTTTTTTTTTTATGGGGTCTAAGATTAAATTAAATGCGTATCCTTCCTTTCTTGTGCCCAATTAAATTATCCCCTGAAAAATGAAACATCTTTTTTACCTTTGCAGCAAACAAGGCATTTGTGTAACCAAAAAGAATAAAGGGGATGGTGTCTAGAGAAGAGAAGACTTAAGTTGATATAAATTAACCAATAGGAATTTATTATAATTCTCAAGCATGGCAATCCAAGGTGCTCTTTTCTTTCTTCTTCTTTTCCTGGCTGATCCAGAAGCCTGCTGCCTCTGCAATCAATGTATTGCAGTTGCAGAGAGATCATTTGAGTCTGCTTCTATCAAACGGAGCAGTTTTCCGGTTGGTTTTGTCTTTGGGGCTGCATCATCTGCTTACCAGGTTCAACCCATGTAGTATTTTTTATATATTCTTATTCTTTGGACGAGTTGTAAATAACAAAAGTAGAATAATTAAGATGGAAGCATTTTCATTGACTGCAGTATGAAGGTGCAGCCAGTGAAGGTGGCAGATGGCCTAGCATATGGGATACCTTCACTAAAAGATTTCCGGGTAAGTCTTCCTTCTTTCAAGTTCGAAGATATAATAAATTAATTAAATGTTAATTGAACATTAAAACAATAAAGAATGACTCTTTCGAAATTTTAAGGCAGAATTCAGCTTTCATTTTCCAAATGAAGTGAGGCAGGCATGTCTTTTTTTTGTGTGGTTTTGCAGATAAGATCAGGGATCATAGCAGTGGAGAGGTTGCAGATGATTCATACCATCTCTACAAGGTAAAATTAAATTCAGAAACAAAAATCAATTTTACCTTTTCTTGCATAACATTTTTCTCCAATATTAGTCTATGTTTTTCCAGCACTAATTAACTAACTTTGACAGGGAGATGTGGCTGCAATGAAGGATATTGGTTTTGATGCCTATAGATTCTCCATCTCTTGGTCCAGACTTCTGCCTGGTAAGATATTATGAATTTTCTCAAAGCGTTTGCTTGTCTAGATAGATATATAGATCAAAATTAATTCAGTTAATCTTGATCAACTTCAATATAAAATCCTTGGCTTGTATATTAGACCTGTTAATTCCCTCTCTTCACCTGACTTAGACGGAAAAGTAAGTGGAGGGGTAAACCAAGAAGGAATCAGATATTACAACAGTCTTATAAATGGGCTTCTGGCAAACGGTTAGATCATCGCAACTCCTCTCTTATACATATAATTGACATTTATATATCCATTGCCTGTTGGTGCTATTAATGAATACACACGCACACGGGCATATTTGATTCCAGGATTGCAGCCGTATGTGACTCTGTTCCACTGGGATCTTCCAGAAGCATTGCAGGATGAATATGGTGGTTTTCTGAATCCACAGATTGTGTAAGTAACAACAGCAGGAAAAAGGAAAAATAAACCAATTAAATATAGCCATAAACAAATCTTCATATGTAATAATCTGATTAAACAGGAATGACTTCCGGGACTATGCTGAACTATGCTACAAAGAGTTTGGTGACAGAGTGAAACATTGGATCACCTTGAATGAGCCTTTGACAGTTGCTAAGAAAGGATATGCAACTGGTGAGGATGCCCCTGGCAGGTGTTCTTATTGGTATTCTCCTCATTGCACTGGAGGCAACTCTGCGACAGAGCCATACATAGTTGCCCACCATTTGCTCCTTGCTCATGCAGCTGCAGTCAAAGTGTATAGGGACAGATACCAGGTTCATTCATTAATCCATAGATACCTTTTATTTTATTTGATCTGACAGTAAGCAACTATATTATTATTATTATTATTATTATTATTACAATTAATAAAAAAAAAGGCAATTAAATATGATTTCATACGTACATGTAGATGTCTCAAAAGGGTCAAATTGGTATAACCCTCAATCTAGTGTGGACAGTGCCTTCAAGTGATTCAAAGGAAGACAGGAATGCAGCTTTCCGAGCTCTTGCTTTCATGTTTGACTGGTACGCCTATGCAAGCATTTATAAATGTATTTTGTAATTGATTGATACTGATAATGATATTAATACTGATACTGATATTGATTCTCCTGTATCATTATTAATTATTGTAGGTTTATGGAGCCACTTCATTCTGGATTCTACCCATATGTGATGGTAACATATGTTGGGAAACGACTTCCTCAATTTTCCAGCGAGCAATCCCAGATGCTTAAAGAATCTTTTGATTTCATTGGAATAAACTATTACACTGCAAATTATCTAATTAAGGCGCTAAATAACGGACTCTTGTGTCAACCTTACAGGTATATATAAGGCGCTGAATTTAATTTTATATATATAGAATACATTTTCTTGATGCAAGTTGTGATGATTTTTTGCTCAGGTGAATGGAAGGGAATTCCAATAGGTCCAAAGGTGCAAATCAATATTAGCAATAGTAATATATAATTTTTCAATTCCATTCATTCTTCTATTACTAGAAGAAGATAATATATCTATATATATGGTGCCCATTCATGATAAATTTGCAGGCTGCCTCTGATTGGCTTTATGTCTATCCTCGAGGAATTTACCAGGTTTTGCTCTACATCAAGTATAAATTTAATGATCCTGCAATCTACATAACTGAGAATGGTAATGTTAATGTAGTGTAAATTGCAGAGAATTCTAATCCATAGAACGCAAAGTAGTTGTTGCCCTCTGAAATTATCTCTCTGCATCTTTCACTAATTTGCAGGTGTAGATGAATTTAATGATGGAACACTATCACTTGAGGACGACATGAGAATAGACTACTATAGTCGACATCTTTCATTTGTTGAGAGTGCCATCAAGTGAGTCAGCTGAATCGAAGTTTTGACATTGTGCGTTGAATAGAAGTTTTTGATGTTATTTTTGATTCTTAAGGAATGGAGTAAACGTGAAGGGATATTTTGCATGGTCGTTGCTGGACAACTTTGAATGGACAGATGGTTATACAGTTCGTTTTGGGATCATCTATGTAGACTACAACAAGCGATTGAAGAGATATGGAAAGAAGTCAGCTGCATGGTTCAAGCAATTTCTCGCTCGAACACATTTCGAGTACTGAACCAATTTCCTTTAATCATTTTTTCTTCTTCACTGTTGTTAATAGCAAATGCAATGTTTAAGATGAATGTATGATTCCTAAAATAAAGAAGAAGAAGAAGAATTAGGATATATATATATATGTATGTACGTATATAGAGGATATATATTTACACTGTATATTATATGTGTCGCTTCTGTATTATTTACTCGTCTGTTATGATTCAACAATTTATATGGAGGTCAAGGAATTTGAATATTGGAGGAAGGTGTGTTGAGTTAATCGTCTATACATGGAGCTTGCAGTTCCTGTAATATTTGAAACAATCATGCTCAATACTATGTCCCAACTTGGCTATTTGATCTGCAGTCATATTGGATTCCCTAACAGTATGTTTAAGTTCAGCATGTGGGATTAGGCGGAGTATCTCTCTGCGGTCAAAAATTAAAGAACTAAGATTGTGAGTGCTTGCGGGAGGAGCCTTATAAGGAGCTGAATAGCCACAAGTGATGTCTGACTCAATAATAATGTGAGTAAAATCATATAAAATGGCAAGTTGTAACCCATCTCTGATTGCCCAAAGCCAAGCCACTAGGCTGTTGGACCAACCAATTTTTTTAGCATATATATCCGAGCTTCAAGTTCCCATGGCAGTCACGGAATAGCCCTCCTGCAGCAGTAGGGCTAGGGGTACACTTAGCAGACCCATATGTATTGAGTTTGCTACCGGTGAGAGAAGGTTTACACCAATTAAAATGTACAATTTATCTAGAACGGGTATTTTTAGGAGTGACAGAAGACCAAAACTCAGCAGCTCTTTTCAATGATCAACTCCTGTGCGGTGAGAGCTTGGTAATTAAGGATGTGGAGAGTGTACAATTTGACTTCGTTGCAGCCAAATTCCCCAGATGCCAAAACAGAAGAGGATAGTCCATGGGAAATTGAGGACATTAGTTGTACCCTTGTTCAAACAGTTAAATTGAAGCCAAGAGAAAAAGTCCAAGTACTGTTGAAAAGGAGATGAAATATCCACGAATAGGCTGTTGATAATAAGAGAGAAGACTATTAGAAAAGAGAAAGAGGAGATTTTATGAAAATAATACTCTTGCTTGTTTTTTTATTTGTGAGAAAACTTTACCATTTAAAGATGTACAAATTGATGAAATAAGGAAATATTATACAAATTACAAAGTGGAAAGGGAAAGTATGAGAGAAATAAGACATGAATACAGGGGATTAATTAATCTTTATACCGTTGTGTTTGAACACATCCTCCATGAATCAATTTGCACAATTTTGCCATTTGTTAATCTTTTGCTAATCTTCTGTTAATCTTCTCCTTTAATGCAGTTCAGCTGTTGCGCAATTTTTTGCCATCTGTTGATCTTTTCCTTTGATGCAATCCAGCTATCCTTTTGTTTTAATACTCCCTTTCAAACTGGGCGAGGGCATAAAGACTGGAACTGATACTTGGATAAAGGCTTTGTGAAGATGTCAGCAACTTGTCGGCCTGAAGAGATGAATCTTGTAATAAGTAATCCCGAAGCAACTCGTTCATGAACATAATGGTCGTTCATGAACATAATGGTAATCTATTTCGATGTGCTTGGTGCGAGCATGAAAGACAGAGTTGATAGACATATGAAGAGCACTCATGTTGTCACAAAATAGAGTGATAGGCTAGGGAAGATGAAGACCAATGTCACGAATGATATAAGATATCCAAGTGAGCTCAGTAGTTGTAGAGGCCATTGCACGGTATTCTGCTTCTGCTCTTGATCGAGTTATTGTCCGCTGCTTCTTTGCACTCCAAAAGATGCAATTACTACCAAGAAAGGTGCATAAACCTGTTGTAGATCTGCATTTGAAAACCAGCCCAATCTGCATTTGAAAACCCATGCAAATCGAGATTAGATTGTGAGCAAATTCGAATACCATAGTCTAACATACCTTTTATATAGCGTAACACTCGTTTTACAAGCTGAAAGTGATAAACAGAAGGTTGATGCATGAATTGACAAATATAATTTACACTATAAGTGATGTCCGAACGAGTAAAGGTTAGATATTGGGGAGCTCCTACAATACTTCGAAACAAAGTAATATCATGGAAAAGTTGATCATTCTCTGGGGTTTTCACTTTTGGAGCCATTGGGGTTCGAATTGGTTTGCAATCCCCCATTTCAGCACACTCTAAGACTTTTTGAGCATATCTTGTTTAACAAAGAAAGAGTCCATGAGCATCATTTTGTACTTCTACTCCCAAAAAATACTGTAGTGGTCCCATGTCTTTCATAGCAAATTCTAAGCTCAATTGCTGAATAAACTCATTTAAAAAATGTGAGTTATCACCTGTTAAGATTATATCATCAACATATAAGAGAAGAATGATAGTACCTTGTGCATTATGACAAACAAAAAGTGAAGGATCAGCTATACTGCAAAAGAACCCAAAGGTTAGTAAAAAATCACTAAATCTATTATACAAATTAGAAAAGAGAAAGAGGAGATTTTATGAAAATAATACTCTTGCTTGTTTTTTTATTTGTGAGAAAACTTTACAATTTATAGATGTACAAATTGATGAAATAAGGAAATATTATACAAATTACAAAGTGGAAAGGGAAAGTATGAGAGAAATAAGGCATGAATACAGGGGATTAATCAATCTTTATATTGTTGTGTTTGAACACATCCTCCATGAATCAATTTGCACAATTTTGCCATTTGTTAATCTTTTGCTAATCTTCTGTTAATCTTCTCCTTCAATGCAATCCAACTGTTGTGTAATTTTTGCCATCTGTTGATCTTTTCCTTTGATGCAATCCAGCTGTCCTTTTGTTTTAATAAAGACAGGGCAAGAATGGATTAAATGCTCCACAGTTTCATCATGAAGATGACAACATGGGCAAACTGCAATGGAAGTAATGCCCAGATGATGCAGAAAGCTAAAGCATTTATGCCTTTGGTGAGATAGGAGCCATATAAAGTGCTGGATTTTAAGAAGAGTTTGTAACTTCCATATCCACTTCTATTCTTGATCAAAAGAAGAAAGAGCTAGGTTTTCCTTATTGTGAGGGAATGAGCAGTAGTGGAAGGGAACTCACCTCTAGATATGCCTTTCAACACAAAGTAATCCTTTCTTGTATTCAAAGCATGTTTGGTGTAGTTAGTGAGAAAACCTTTACAAATATAAAAGTGTAACTGAACTGAACAATATAACCTATGAAAAATAAAAAAGACTTTCCACAAGCTGATCTTTTCCTCATTCTAATGCAATTTTGAAAAGCATGAAATTTGTGCTTTCACGGCAACTTCTACTTCTGATTTAATGAATTTTACTCATTCTCCCCATTTTATCCTCACATTTGCTTTTATTTACAAAAAAAAAAAAAAAAAAAAAAACCACTATATATAGGTTCCATTTATAACTTCAGCCGCCATTCTTGTTTCTTTCTCAAGCAACCTAAGTCTCTGTGTTTCTTCCCCATCTTCTTAACCATCTTCTTCCTCATCCAACCAAAGACCCAGGAGCTAGGTTGGCCATGAACCCAACACCTGGGTTCGATGACAAACTTAGTGCTTGGGTTCACAACAAACCCAACAAACCCAGGAGTTGGGTTCGCCACGAACCCAGCACCTTGGTTTGATGACAAACCTAAAGGTTAAAAAAAAACAAAATAAATAAAATAAAATAAAATAAATCAAACAGTCGAAGGAAGGAGAGGATAACAGAAGGGGGAAGAAGATGGGGGCAAATAAGTCAACTACTCTAATCACATAATAACATTTAAAATATTTATAATGATAATTATGTAACTAAATAAATTTTAAAATTATATTAAACCAAAAAATTTAACTATGTCATTAATTTTTAATTGATGGATTTTCTATATAATTTAAGGAAAAAAATAAAGTAGTTTTTTTCCATTGTAGAGAGATTAAAAAATGAAATTTAACTTAAGTTTTAATTTAATTGTTTTATTTATATGACTTAAATATAGTATATTTTGTTTTTTAATATTAAAATATAAACATTTATCTAGTATTTATGTTTTAAAATATAAATAATTAATTTTATTCATCAACCTTAAACTAATTATAAAA